TGCACCACCTGGGGTGGGGGGAATGTGTCTCTAAAATTCAAAGCAGCCGCCAAATCTGTCTCAGACACATGCCTCCAACACTTCACCACCCAGCTTCCCCCCCACCCACCCCAAGGCGCACTCTCCTTCAGAGGCCAGAGCCCCAGCTGGCTGTGCCCTGTGGTCTGCATTCTGCATCCTGTCCCATTCTGCATCCTGTCTCAGCCTCCATCCCCTCCCTGGCTGGGGGATGTAAGCAGGAATGGCTCAATCAGGATATAATCGTTTTTAATTAACGTGCGGATCATTTCACAGGCTGATCTCCTTGGAGACCAGAGGGAAGACGGTCTTTTAAGAATTTCTTTTGCCTCTCCTCACCTGCCCCTCCCAGTCGAAGGCCACCCCCCTTCACCCACCCAGCCACAACCTTGAAAGCAGCACAAAAGCCTGCTGCCTGGATCTCTCTTGGGGCCATTAGGAGAGAAGTGTGTGCTCACACACAGACAAACATGCACGTGCCCAAGCTCAGGGGCACACTCTACCCCCAGAAATGCACAAAAAGGATCAGAGACTCACAGACATGTGTGCACACACCCACAGACGTGGCACACACAAGGATACACGCAGATTCACACACATACACATACACACACAGAGGCAGGCATGCACACACGTGTCCAAGCTGGAAGGTACAGAGACCCTTAAGAAATACACTAACAGGATCTGAGGCACAAACAGACATACCACACGCTTACACACACACATGCCCAGGCTGGTGGGCACACCAACCCCCAGGGATACACAAACAGGATCAGACACACAGATACACACATACAGGCACACATGGATGTGCACACATCCTCGGGAACACACCACAGAGATGCCCAAATACCCTCAGCCCATGGGAGTGCTGTTCCTAACCTCATGCTGACAGCAGGGGGACAGAAGGTCCCTGTCCTGCAGTGGGAAGTCACAGCCAGTCACCTTGCCCCCTAACAGCAGCCCCACCCAGCCCTGGTCCTGGGGGTGCCCTGTCACCTGCCCCATGGGGGAACCCATCAACAGAAAAGCCACCACCAAGGCCTTGCCTCCCTGCCACCCACCTGACCTGGATCCTTCTGAGCCCCCAAGCCCTGCAAACAGTTGTTCAGCTGAACCCGACAGAGCCAACCCAGCTGTCCTGCCTTTCCCAGTCATCCCCAACACCCTGGGGGGGTGGCCCCAGCTTCTCCTCCAGGTGCCCAGTGAGGCTGGGGACAAGGGACTTTCTCTCTTCTTTCTAAAGGTCCTTCCATGCCCCCATTTTCTTCCTTCCTGACCTTCCCTCCCCCTTTTCTACCCCCTCACATCATCTCTCCTCCCCTTCTTTGCTCTCTCCCCTGCCTCTCCAGGTCCAGGGGACCTCCTGGGTTCAATCTCAGGATCAGAGTGCACCACCTGGGGTGGGGGAGAATGTATCTCTAAAATTCAGAGCAGCTGCCAAGTCCCCGCTCCCCCATTGTCCGTATCTGTGCTGACACCTGGCCCCAGTGCCAGAACAGACCCAGAGCTGGGTTTTTGGACAAGCAAACTGAGGCACAGGGTAGGGGCACAACCCCTGGGGTCTTCTACAATCTGCCAGCTCACCCCTCTCACTGCATCTACTTTGGACCTTGGCTTTTCCCCTGGAAAATGGGATGGCAAAGAGGGAGGAGGAGTTGTGAAGAGGGGCAACAGGGAGCCCATGGCTGACCAACTGCAGGCTAGGAACTTGGGTGGCCCCGTATCCCAGGAACACGGCCAGAGGGCATGACACAGAGGGCTTAGGAGCCTGTCTGGTGCTCCAGCTGGTGATTCCCTCATGGGGCCTCAGTGCCCACATATGTGAAATGGGTGAGGTCAGCCTAAAAGACCCTTAGAGGCTCTTCCCAGATGTAGAAACCAAATGGCAGATGAGTAGCCAGTTCTTGACTCCTACAAGGCCCAGGGACTGCTGTGTGACCTTTGGACTCACTTCCCCTCTCTGGGCTCCCATTTCCTCCTCTGTCAAAGGAGAGGGGTCAGACAGGTGATTCACTGTCAAGTCTCTTTTCAGTTCTAAATAGAAGGTTCTAGATTGTGGGGAAGGAAAAACAGTGCTTGTCCTGGAGAAATGAGAAGCCCATTCCTCCCACTGTAGGCATGTTGACATCAGCAGCATCATTGTGAGAAAATCATCTTAAACATTAGAAAAGGCTCTCTACATGAGACAGACCCACTACCTTGTTCACCAGGAGCAACCCGAATGAACAAAAGGGGAATATCAAGTAAATGATGATGAATCCACCCAATTGGGAAAGCCTGAAGACATTTAACCATGGTGCTTATTAAGAGTTGGTTACAAAACAGGAAAAAGGCTCCTAATTAGCGCAAAGAAAGCAGTATATACATCTGAGTAAAGAGAATACTGACAAAGTCTGTAAACAATGACCCAGCCACTAAGTTGGAAAAGGGTGTGAAGGACAACATGGAAATACTAACACGGTCTTACTTAGCCTAAGACTAAAACCTCTTTTGTTTCTTTTTTCTCTATTTTTAGGATTTTCTATGAGCCATATTTAAAAATGCATATATTGAAAAGGGTTTTTTTTAAATAGCTAAATCCCTCCAATTCAGAAAATGTTCCATTCATTCACTCATTCATTCCCAATTCATTCACTTTTTTGTTTGTCCAGCCAAAGCTGAGTGCTCTTCACCTGCCAGGCTAGGGGCTCTAGATTCACAGGGAATAGTTCTCAGAAATTCATGGTGGAGGCAAGAGAAGACAGCCCCACAAATAACTCTATACTAAGGGGGTTGTGCCATAATGGGGCCTCCCAGTGAGCAGAAATCAACCCCATGGGTTTTAGCCCAGCCTCCCTGCTGCCTCACCCAGGCCTGCCTGCAACTGCTAGGATCTCAGCCGCTAGCCTGTGGGTCAGGAACTAACCCTGAACTGCCAAAGCCTCCAGATGTCGGGGGTGAAGGTGGGGAAGAAAGTGCAGAAGCCCTCCTGTACCCCTCCAACCCCATGGCCATTCTACCACAGTTCTGTGGCTCTGGTAGGTAACCCCTTCCCCTCAGGGCCACTGGACAGCTACCTGGCGGCAGCACCCTCTCTGGGCTCTGATTTCCGCCCCCTCCAAGGTCCCCCAACAAGGCACCAATGCAGCGGCTGTGAAGGGGAGCACAGGGTATGGAATCTGCTAGCTCTTGTCAGCTAGTGTCATGCTGTTAGCACGTCAAAGGGTCCTACGCCGCCGTGTCCCTGCTGTGTAGGGGACTGACAGATTTCTGGGGGAAGGTTAACTCTTTCCTCGGCAAAACCACAGAAGAGCCTGAAAACAGTCCCCATCCACCCCCAGATGCCTCCCCTCTTCCTCCAGGAATCCCCTCTTCAGGAAGGGAGAAGAATTTCCTTCATCTGCCAGGGTTGCCAGCTTGGGGTCCCTACCCCCAGTAAGAGAAAGGGAAGGAGCCCCCTTAGCCCCGCCGCTGCTCGCCCGGGAATCCAAGGCAGATTTCCATTGACTGTCCTCCGCCCCCACTCCCGTTCAACTGCCCCTATACCCCTCCACAGCTCCCCCTTTGCCACCAAAGGAATAAAGGACCTAAGCGCTTGGAATGCCAAGAGAAGCCTCTGCCCCACAGCCCCCACTTTGAGCCTGCGCCCCAGGACTGCGGTCCCCAGAAATTCTCTGGGCTAGCACTTCCTTCCCATGGCCCCAGTGGGAAAGGCTAAGTTCCCACCGTTCTCCTCCCCCCTCCTTCCCCTCCCCCTTGCCCGGAGGGAGGGGGCAAGGCGTCCGGATCTCCGGGTCACGGGAGCAGCGTCTGCTGTGGATCGCGGGAGACAAACACTTCGTCTCTCTCACACCACCACCACCACCACCCCGCCCCCCCCCTCAGGATCACCTCTGAAGCCCGCATTGTACCGGGGAAAGGGAGCAGGCTGAGGTTAAGGGGACCCTCCGACGTGCCGGAACTCACTAGCCAATCACCAAGCCCAAGAGGGGCTAGAATCCACGACCCCCGGCCGCGGACCCCACCTCGCCCCCGCCCCCTCCCTGCGCGGCGCGATCTTACGTCAACGGCTCTAACCCAAACAAGCCCCTCCCTCTAAGGAGTCCGCCTCCCCTCCCCCTGCCTGGGGTCAGCAGCCCAGGGAGAGACCCAGCTACGGAACCCCCTCCCGCCGAAGGCAGAGGCGCGAGATTTCATTGTCAGCCGGGCCACTCCGGCGCGAGTGAGGCGGAGGTGCAGGGCAGGGGTGCTATCCGACAGGCTCGGGCGCGGGAGTGGGGAGGGGTCTCCAGGGGAAGTGTTTGAAGCTGCTCCTCCAGCTCAGTCCAGATCCAGAAGCCGCCGGGGGAGGGAGGAAGGCGGGGGTGGGAGGAGAGCGACCTTAAGCGCTCGCGGGCAGCTAGGAGGGGCCGCGGCGGCCGGAGGAAGCGCCTGGAGGCGTTGGGGGCGCCGAGTCCCCCGGGAGGCTGAGGCACGCGGGAAGTTTCCCACTGGTTGCCCGGAGCAGGAGGACAGAGTGCGCAGACAATCCTCCCGGCCTGACTAGCACTAGGGCGCAGATTGCGAACTTGAGCAAAACTCATTCTTTCTCCGGCATTCTGCTCACCACCCCATCCGCGGCCACCAGCCCCGCCATCTCAGCCCCTTGCCTTCTGCCAGTGCAAATGTCGCCAAGACCTCACCAATGCACTGTGGAGGAAAGGGGAGGAGGGAGACCCCAGCATAAGCAAACTGCGGACACACACACACAAAAAGAAAAAAAGAAAAGAAATTCCTTCTCCTGAGACTGAGTCCCTCAGCTGGCGTGGAAAACCCCCAAACAGGCAAATCAACTCCAGCCAGGATCGCGGCGCGGCGGGAGGGGTGCCCGCGGAGGGCGGCGACCCAGCCGGCTGCCCAGGCTTTAGGGTAGCTCTGAGCGGCGGCGGGTCGGGGGCTCCAGGAGTCCTGGAGCCCCAGAAGGACACCCCGAAGACACAAAGCTCTGCCGCCAACAATACCTGCGGGCTCCTCCCGGGTCACCCGGGCGCCAGCGCTGCGCGTCTCGCCGTCTCCCTTTCCCCGCGCCGTCCCTCTTCCTCTTTCGCGCGCTCTCCCCCTTCGCCTCGTCCAGAACGCGGCGGCCAGATGAGATCCTTGGGAGAAAAAAATGTGAGTGCTCGCACGATTCCTTTCTCTCCGCCTGCCGCTCGCAGCGGCCCGGGGCTCGCTCCTTTCTCCTTCGCGCTCCCGCGCGCGCCGCGCCTCTCGCGCCCCGCGTTTCCTTCTCAACAGCCCCTGCGAGCGCCCTCAGTAGCCATTATTCACGGGCCGCCGGGGGACAGGAGGTAATTAGAGACCGCCCCGTGGCCGCATCCACTCGGCAAGCGCGATGCGGGCGCGGGGTGCGCGCGGGGAGGGGCGCGCGACGAGGGGGCTTGGCTGCGCGCAGCCCGCTCCCCAGACGCGGGGGAGGGGAGAGGGAGGGGAGGAGGAGGGGGCGCCGGGAGGGAGAGGCGGGGGAGGCGTGGTGAGCTGGGGGAGGGGGAGCCGGGGAGACGCTCCCGCGGCTCTCACCGCGGGGGCTCGGGGTCACCGGCTTGGAGGCTCCAAGGCGCTTAGGGACTGGGGGTGGGGATGGGGGGGGAATGTGTCCGCGTGTGTGAGCGCGCGCGCGCGCACGTGTCAAAGATAGAAAGGGAGGGAAGGAACGCTTTAATATTTTTCCAGTGACTTACAAGCCCGTGGGTGAGCTCTTAGCTGCGCGTTTAGGTCCGTGTGTTTATCAATGTGGCTGTGTATTTCTGTTCTGTCCTACGCGTGGATGTCACGGGGTTTGGCGGTCCGGCTACCGAGCTGATGAATGTGTTTCTGGGTCTCGGAGGGACTGAATGATGCGGTGCCTGCGTGGGGCTGTTTGTATGTGATTGCTTATAGGGGGTTGTGTGACTGCTGGGTGGGATTGCGCCTTTGTGGGGCCGTGTGCCTCCGAGGGGCATCTGTCTGTGTGAGGTTGTGTGTTGGTGATTGTGTGTGTGTGTGGGCCCGAGTGTGTCTGAGGGGTGTCGTGTGTCCGTGTGGGCTTGTTTGCGATTGGGACTGCGATTGTTGGGGCTGTGGGTCTGCGTATGGAGGGGCGGTGCGCCTGTGAGGACTGTGGGTCGGCGAGAGGCTGTGATGTGTGTCTGCAGGCAATCTTGTGTGTGGCTGCGTAGGGCTGTGTTCTGCGTGCGGGTCTGCAGCCTAACGGGCAGGGAAGTGGGGGGAGTCCGAGTGGCGTCGGGATAGCAGCGCCGCAGAAGAGCCGCTTAAGGCGCGAACAAGCTGCGCGCTGGGGTCGGGGCGCAGCGCTACGCGTAGCGAAGGAGGGGCGGCGGGGGAAGGCGGAGACGAAGGGGGCCTTCATCCCGCACCCCCCTTTTCCGCACCATAGATGCAGCTAGGAGATCCTGGTACTTGCCGGTCCCACGGTCCTAGAGTCACTGGGTTTGGAGGACCCTGCTGGTCCGGGGAGACGCCTATGGGCGGGGCGCGGGGGGCAGCAGGAATTGAGTTCGGAGGTTTGGGAGCATCCCTGAAGCGCGCGGCCGGGGCAGCCTAAAGAAACCAGTCTCGGTCCGAAGACAGCGAAACTCTAGGCCGAGACAAAGAAGAGCGCGGCCGGGGGCGTTTAGGCGGGACCGCACCTCCCGGTTCCCCCGCGGCAGAGCGGCGGCCCTACCCGCGAGCTAAAAGCTGTCGCGTGGAGCCTGGCGGCAGTGGCGCGGCCCCTCCTCGTCCTGGTCCCGGAGCCGCAGCCGTCACTGGGAGCAGCTCTAGAGCCCCGCGGGCACTGAATTACGCGTCCCGGGAGTGACCGAGGTAGGGGGGGTTTCTGAGCGTAGCAGCCCTGCGCCGCACCCCGGGGCTGATTGAGAGCTCAGCTGGCCCGCCCCCCGCCCGGCTGCTCACCGCCCACGCAGCCATTCATTCATTTATCCGTCGGTCTCTCCACCCACCCACCTTCCATCCATACCGGCGTCCGACCTATCCTCTGTCCTCCAGATTATCGCTCCAGGGATCACACAGACTGGTCAGACCTGGCTGTCCGCTTTGTGTGGCTCGCCAGTCTCGCTATGCTGGCCCTCATCTCTGCTGCCCTGTGCAGGCCCCTCTCTGGCAAGAGGGGTGGAGCGTACCCCAAGACGGATACCATATCCCATTTTGCTGTTCAGTGATCAATCACCTGACACCCCCTCAACTACTAACCCCCACCACCCCTATTAACCTCTCCACACATCCTACACTCCACCCACCCCACAGTAATCAGGAGCCAAGTGGGTGTGGGGAGGCTGCTCTTCACACTGCCTGGCCCTCCTGAGACCTGGTGGATTCTTAGGGTGGTGGCAGGCAGCACATCCCCACCCCACTGCCTGAGTGCCAGTCTCAGCCAGCCTGGCTGGGGGAGGTGTCTGAGCAGGGGTCTGATGAAAGGATTGCTTTGCCTCCAGGCCTTGCCTCAGGGTTCTGCAGGGCCTGGTGGCACAGGGGCCCCTAGTACCCAGTGGCCCGAATAGTCACTTCCAAACCCAGCATTGGTACAGTGTCAACTGGAAAATGGAAAGAACACAAAAAACAAAAAACCACACAGATTCCCAGGCTCTAGCCCAGACCTAACCAACCCAAGTGCCCAGAGTCTGCACAGGCTGTACCCTCTGCCTAGGAATCAACATCTTAGAGGGGGGCTTGGGAACCACTGGTCTGGAGCATCTTACAGCTGCTCAACTAGACAGGGACAAAGAGCAGGCCTCTCTCCTGGGAATGGACCCTAAACGTGCCCTCTTGGCTGATCCCTGGCTTACCTGGTAAGGACGCTGCAAAAACAGGCCAACTGTGGGCACCTTCTCCAAGCTAGCAGGCCCGGGGCAGCCCAGCTTCTCTGTGGGCTCTGGTCTGTTTATCTTTAAAAGGTCTTCAATTTTCTGGCTTGGGAACCGGGGTCACTCAGTACTGAGGCTGCTGGGTGAGCCAGGAGAGGCCTACTATGTGCACCATTAGACAAAAATGATGAAATCCCTGCCGGGAACCACCAACCCAGCAAGAGGCTGACTTGTAACTCCTGCTGTACTGCCACCTGGCCTCAGCCTCAGGCTGTCCCGTCACATCCTGACTCAGCCACCTCCTCTATACTGCCATCCACAAGATCAAGACTGGCAGGTGGGAGTATAAGCATGGTAGTATGTGCCCCCTTCCCCTGGAGGGTAGGGACAGGTTCCCTCCCTGGTTTCAGAGCAGTCAGAATTGTCTTCACAGTGGCTGATGAGGTCCCACACACTGAGGTCCCCCGCACCTCTTTGACCTCATGCACCCCCCTTACCACCGTGTCTTCTTGCTGTTCCTTGAACAGCAGGTATTCCATAAATTCTCAGGGCATGGCTGGTAGGGGAGGCTGTCTGGGTGGCAAGCTCCTTGCTCCGGCCAGACGTCTGACTCCACAGCCTACTGTGGGAGTCCTGTCCTGCTTCAGCAGGGAGAGGAGATGCCCCCTTGCTTGATGGGCAGGAAAATTCTATGGGCCTGTGGGTGTGTGCACAGGCCTCAGAGGGCCCCATGCTTCCTGGTGAGCTGCGGCTGTCTTCAAGGGAGCCTGGACCTGCACAGGTTGCCCTTTTATTTGCTTAGCACTATCTAAATAGCTGCTTTCCTGCAAAGTGTGTGTTCAAATGCCATTCTTGAGTTAAATGATGTGCAGGAGCCAGGGAGGGGACCCCAGGCAGGGGCCAGGGAATGCAGGCAACTGGGGCAGTGGAGCTGCCAGATGTTGGGCTCACTGACAGGCCACCAGGGATGGGAGTTAGCCAGGGGCCACCCAGATGGGCCCAGAGGCAGAGAGAGGGGCCTGAACTCTACCCACCATGCCAGGTGCGTGCCACTGAGACCCAGAGGTCAAATTCAAGCTCAGCCCTGGTCTGGGTACTATGGCTCTCAAAGGACAGAGAGCCGGCACTTGACCCACATGTCCACAGACCCGTGGTTGGAGGTGGGCCTGGCAGGTTTCAACATCTGCTCCACACATTTGCGTAGTAGTCAGCCAGTGATTTCAAATCTCTATTTCTTCCTCAGAGACTGGGTCACTAATGTCCAGACAATTGCCCAAGGTCACACAACTTGAGTATATGCATCTATTTGCTTGACAAGTATTTACTGAGCACCTACTATGTTCCAGGCATTGTTCTATGTGTGGAAGATTCAAAGGAAGGAATGAAGCAAAGCTTGCATTCTTTTTAGTCATGAGACAGATAAGAAACAAAATAAATTATGTAGTGTGTTACATTTCACAGTGTGCTGTGAAAAACTAAAGCCAAGGAAGAGGGCTGGGAGCATTTGGGGGGTAGGGGGCTCACTTGGAAACATTTGGGAAAAGACTTGAAAGACTAAAGCAGTGAGGCATGCAGCTATGTGGGGAAAAGCTGTGTAGGCAGAGGGAACAGCAAGAGCAAAGGCACTGAGACAGGAACACGGTGAGGATTTTTGAGGAATGGCAGAGGCTAGTGTAGCTGAGTGCAGCGAGCAATGGGGGTAGTGGGAAGAGATGGGGACAGAGAGGTGACAAGGGGCCACACCATATGACCTTGTACACCTTTGTTAAGAACTTTAGCTTTAATGGGGAGTGAGATGAGAAATCTGCAGTGGTTTGAGCAGAGGAGGGATGTGGTTTCTCTTAGGTCCTCACAGTGTTCCCTGGGCTGCTATGAAGAGAAAAGACCCGGAGCCAGGGCAGGAGTGTAGACACCAGAAAGGTGGCCCCTGCGTGAGTCTAGGTGGGTGATGATAGATAAGGCCTGGCCAGGGTGGGGGCCATAGAAAGCTGAGAAGCCATCATATTCTGGGTTTATTTTGGAGGCAAAGCTAACAGGACTGGCTGATGCTTTTGGCTTGAGCAACTGGAAGGCTGGGGCTGCTGACATCAGCCGGTCATGCTAGGGGAGAGGCCTCGGGCAGAGTAAAGGAAGGCAAATCCTCAGGAGGGAACCTCCCTCCCTCGGACAGCTTAATGGCCCTCATGCCAAACAGCTTAGACAGCTGCTGAAGGGGCCCCATTTTTAGTAAGTGTACTGGGAGCAGTGCCCTGCCAAGTCACTTTCCCACTCTGAGCCTCAGTTTCCCCTTTTAACGA